TCACGACGACGACGACGACGACGACGACGACGACGACGACGACGACGACGACGACGACGACGACGACGACGACGACGGCGGCGACGTGTCCTCGCGCCTGTCTCCAGCCGAGCGGATAAACGCGGACGCGTCCAATACCCAGGAGAAGCCGGCCGAGCCCACCTCCAGCCCCGTACTCACCCATGACACGGCCTCTTCCAACTCTCTCACCACCCACCTCTCAGGTCCAGTTTTACACTCCGGCTCAGAATCGCTATCAGCCATCCACCATGCCCCTGTCCCAAGCACAACAGCAGCAGCAACAACAGCCGACTGGCAATCAACGCAGCCGGTACTCCGTCGGCCAGGCATTATCGTCCGCCAATCGGAAGCCGTCCGACAAATATTCAAGCACTAGCGGCTCGCAAACGACGATGCTGCGGCAGTCCAAGTATAAGGTGAATGGAATAATGCAGACTGCAGCAACGGCGGTGGCGAACAAACTCGCTGACGACGCTCTGGGAGGCGCCGGTGACGGTCCTGGTAGGCTACCGATAACGCCACCCGGTACACCGCGGACGACCGGCCATCCGGCAGCTGGCGATCAGAATCAGCTGAGCGACACGTGCCATCAAATGCAGGCGCTGACTCTGTAGACACTTCCTACTCCCCTTTTTCTTTGTTCTCTTCGTTGTCCTCTTTGTTGTCTTCTTGATGAGAATATATATATTTATCTTATAAGAGTCGAGAGAGATCACGCGTGCGACCTAAGACGACGGCTGCAAACTGTGAAAAACAGTGTGGCTATCAACGACAACACACACACACACACACACACACACACACACACACACACATGCAACGATAAATTGTGATTTTTTTTTTGTAAATCTTGGAAAATAGTCTTTGTGCGCAAACTATTTAATTTTCAATTCAAGTTTTTGCGAGCTTTATATTTCGCAAGAACTAGTGATATATTTTTTTCTCTGTTTATACAGAGTTATGATTTCTTATTGTGTATTCAGTTTTTCTTTTTGTATCAGATTTTTTACAACTTTTCTCCTTAGGATTCGAGGAATTTTTAAAGTTCCGTTGCATTGTAACTTTCACTCGTATTTTCGATATATGTGATCTTAAACTAAGCAAACCTAAAAAAAGGACAAAAAAGTTGACTACAAAAGAACCGTATTTACGAGCGGTCGTGCGAATGCAAGCAGTTTCCGCGTTCATGACTTTTATTTCCACATATTTCTTCGGATCGTCACACTATCGCTCGGCTTATCCCTTGATATTTTAGAATATAGCTTACGAACTTATTTGTATCGTTAAATTTAAAAAGAATAATTTACATAATATTTAATTACATATTTAATTACATGAAGTTTAATTTTAAATTTGATTGCGGTTTTGTGTCATATATTTAACAAAAAATTTATAAAGTAACGAAATGATATAACACTCGATAACGTATTATGTTTAAAATAATCTCCAAGATGATATTTGGCGTACATTATTCATATGCAATAATTAATATCACGTAATATCTTTGCAATAGTTATTATAATTGGATTAGTATCTTGGATATTTCTTGTCGAAGAACATGTACGCCGGACATAGATAATCCAATAAGTATCTAATAGTATCGATCTCTCAGACATTTAGTCCATTAGATTCCATGTCAGTTTATTGTTTCACGTTTTACGGGTTTGCCCAAGAGTATTCCCTTCTGCGTCTTTCAGCCTTAATTTCATTTTGTACTAATTAATGGCCAGCCTTAATTCCATTCTGTACTAAATAATACTAATTATTTATCAAAGTTTTTCACACAACATTTTATCATGTATATTTTAAACTCACAACTACATTTCTCTAAAAATATGTGTGAAGTATTTTAATTAGTTTTACTTTAATTTCTTCATTCTTTTTTTAACGGGCGTTAGATTATATATGAATAGTGTTTCATTCTTGTATTCATGTTTTTGTATTTCATCTCTATTTTATTACAATATGCGTGTTTGTATGTAATGTATTATGTTTAATTGATATTGAGTAATTGATGATAAAGAAAAAAAAATCTTTTTATAACTTTTAGATAAATAAACATTTTGGAATTTGAGCGAGCCGACGCGACTTCCAGATGCGTTGTGAATAACTTTCATAATTTATATTAATTTTTATATTCTGTTACGTTGTATTGATTTATATTATTTAAATCTTTTTTTTAGTATTAAATCATTAGTTTCCTAAAAATCAGTTTTATTTACGCGAATGCGAATGCGAACAGACAAAATCATGAATGACGTTCGAGTATCAGTATATCGCATGAATCGTATACAATAAAGCGAAACTCCCTCCGCTTCTACGACACTTCGTCAGAGACATTCAATCAATGCCTATATTTTGATTACTCTGAAATATAGCCAATCTCGAGAATGCTCATCCCTGATTTTAGACCCCCTTCTTCCCCTTCATTCACCCCTTCATCGCATAGAGGCGGAAGTGCTATGCCGTGAATACTCCGTCGGATATGCAAATCAATCCCACTGTTTCCAATGATTTATCTATTGAACGCAATTCGTTTAAGTGTATTCCGATTCCATTTCGATTGAACGACCGCGCTCATTATTTAAAGCCAGATATATACCGTATAACTAATCCTTTTCAGACGTTTACATAAGTTGCACAAGACGGAAAATTTCTGCACGACTTAGCCAATCTTATAATGTCTAATAATTAATTCTTCAGATCCAATTTCTTTAAGTGTGCCATAAGTTGGCCGAGAATTAGACAGTTACTTTGATCAAGAAGAGGCGTGCTTTAAAATTTATATGTGCACGCGTGTATGTGTAAAGTTACACCGAGTGTTTCCTAGACGCTTCAGTGAAACACGTTCACTCACTCCACGCGCGAATTTAAATATAAGTAAAAGGCTTTACTGGCACAATCCGAGAGTATCGTCTTTCTTTCTAGAAGTTGATTTGCCTTGCATGAAGCTTAGAAGGGGCTGCTTCTGTCGGGAATTCGCTTCACGATATACAGGTCGGTTTCTCGTCTTTTCTTTCTTTTTCTTAGAAATGAAAGAGAGAGAGAGAGAGAGAGAGAGAGAGAGAGAGAGACTTCGATCTTGTAGTTTAAGCTAGACATCGCGACACCAACGTGGCTCTCTTTACTGTATTTTCTTTGTTTC